TGAACTGGTCTTGCATTAATTAGTTCACTCGACCCAGATAGCACTGTAGCTACTATAAACGTACATATGTAATAACTATACATATGTACATACTTGAGTGCAGTTCAACAAATTTCAATTGAAACACTATTTGTTCATGACTAACTAAAATTTTTACGCTCTAATTTCAGGGTAAACATCAAACTTAAGCGGAAAATGAATTTAGTTTGTCCGAAGCCAAAAAAAAACGATGATTTCAAAAATGTTTGCGCCAAGAGCATAAAATAAAACATGACAACGTTGTAATAGTTACTCCCAAGTACATATGTACATACAGATGTATGTATGCAACTGCCGCACTAACGGCAACGGTTGAATCAACACTAGTAACAAATTTAACAGCTGTCAAATTGAGTGCATTGCTAAGCTAGTAAAAATAAAAAACAAAATATGTATGTATGTTGCCAGAGCACACAATTGGCCCGACTGCTGAACACATCAAATAACAACAATAAAAGAGGCAACAAATTTGTTTAATAAAAAAAGTTAACGTCTAAACACAGCAGAAATTTTCAAAAAGTGCAACAAATAAGTAAAAGAAGTGGCACTACACAGCTACGACTTGAAGTGGCAGCCGCCTTTATTTCGTTCGCCTTTAAACTCTTGCGCCCGTTTTTTTGCTTTTGATATTAGTTATACAAAAATTTTGCAGCATTTCGCCACCACTGAAGACACCGGAGCCTTTGCAAGTGAGGGCAACACCTTGCAACAATAAGGGTGTTGCACGTTGCCGCTCAGGCAAAACAACTCACCAACTAATAGCGAAGCACTGCAGACAATAAGCGCCAGACAGCAAATAGCTGACTGCTTGGCCTCTAGCGCCAATACAAATAATAACAACATGACAACAGCAACAACACAAGCTGATATCAATACAAACACCACAACCGCCAACGAAGTTGCTGGTCACGTTGCAAGCGCTGGTGGTGGTGGTGGTGGTGGTGGTGGCGGCACCGTCATCGGCAGCGTCGTTGGTGCTGATGTTGACAATGGCTTGGGCTCGCCGCTGACAACGTCCATTAGAAACTCGAATGGTCTCACAAACCACACCAATAATTTCTATAGCAATTCATCGAATTCAAATTCAAATATTGGCAATAATGGCAGCACTACACCAACAACAACAAACAACAACAATCAGCGTGGTAAGTAGTTATTTAGTTGCACCATGTATGTACTGCATATTTCTGTGTGTTTGTAAGTAAAGAAATTTTCGGTTTGCTTTCGGGCATTTTAAGTTAATAGCAGCAATTTCGTTGAAGACCCTTCGGTGAGAAAGGCTACCTGGGCTATTTTAGTTTAACCTGAAAAGTTTAAATTTTTTTTTGTTGTTTTTGGTAGCAACGGAATTCAATTATGCGGAAAGTGCAATCAAAGTAGCAAATAGTTTTGAAATAACTATATACTTATGTATGTACGTACGTATGTATATATATGTAGCGTAGAATCCATTGAAAGAAGGCTTATAGTTGGGCAGGATTATTTTGAAAATGGTCGACTTTCTCAAAAAGAGCATTATTTTCTTTCTTTTTTGTTATCGTTTGCAATCTTTAATTGATCATTTCAATAATCACCGCATTTACCGGCCATTCTGGCTAACTGTTTTCGAAAAACAAAATTATTTCGTAAGACAATAGTCAACTCTTGCAATTATCTTGAAAGTTATTTTCTGTCTTTCGAAAGACTAATTGAAAGATCTGTTAACGAGGAGGTCTTAGTTTAATACTGTGTGTTGCCTTTAGCAATAAGTTTTCTAAAAATTAAATTAAATAAAAAATATTTGTTTTTTCTTTCTAAAACAATAAAAACTGAAAATTTAACTAAGAAACTTTGATAAATCGGAAAAGGCATTTTTTTTTTACTTGTTACCGCTTATTTAAAATTATATTTAAATTACTATTAAGACACTTTAAAGAAAAAATCACATACTTGGAATATTCTACATACCTTCAGCTTTCAGCTCCATATGAAAAAAGTTTTGACAAGTAAATATAATTGATCAAAATCTTCTCAGCGATTCACTTAAATTATTGCATAGTTTTAGAAATAATAAGCAAGTGTTCACTTTCCACGGATGAAACGGAGCTTTCGCGTTAGAAAATTATTATATTTTTTTTTTGTATTCCCTGTTAGATAGAGTAGCTGTTTTTTAGTAATTAGGCAAGATATGATGTCAAAATGATACATCAATATTTTTTTCGAATGACCTACTACGGTACCACTGTGCATGGGCAGGAAATGATTAATGACAATTGATGAATATTCAATGAAGCTGGAACCTACTGTAAAAATTTTGCAAATAAACACAATATACCTCATCGCCGTTGGTCAGCATATTTTGGAGGTGGTTAAGAATGATTTCAAGAATGCAGAAGGAGTCACTTCGGAGTCAATTAAAAAATCTCGCCAATCTTGGAGTAGAAATTTCTCTACCACGTTTGTAAATAATCCAAAAGTTTGCTGAAAATCGGTATTAGCGTAAAAATGATTAAATAAAAAATATATCAAAAAAATTAACAATTATATTTCGTTGTCGAACATACTTTGTAAAAAATAAAATGCGTAATACCGGTAACAAGGAAAAATTAACAAAAATCGAAGGGATTTATCTGCAACTTGAAACTTGCACCATCATTTTTTCTAAAGATTCTGAATAAAATTTTTCTTTTTTGAATTTTTATAAAAAGTTTGAAATGTGTAGATATACTTATATGCATGGTGTCTGTTTTAGAATGAACTGAACTTTTATACAAAACTAATGACAATATTTAGACGCTTACACTTTTGCCAAGTGTTGGCCGAGCTTCTAATCCAATTTGTGGTGTGCGTCTTATGAAGGGACCTTCAGTTTTACGACGCCTCCGTATGGCAAATAAAGCAAAAATCGCCAAAATTTGTCAAACTATCTTGACTCATTTTCTTTCACGTGGCTGTAGATATATGTATATATTTGTGTTTCGACCACGATCTGCCATACGCAGAACACCCTTTGTCATTAAAAATATCTGCCACTAAAATGTAAGCTCTAAATTCATTTGTTAATGAACCTTTCCCTTCGGAATATAGCATTAACTCATAGCTTTTTTGAGCTTTACCCTCTTTACTCATTTTGTAATTGCAATTTTTCATGCAATGGGCCAATAAATTTTCCCTACGTACGAGTACACACCTTTAATACCATTTGATACCAATGTAGAGGCAAATCGACATTCAAAACTCGGATGCATTAGAAAAAAGAAAATGCAATGGCCACGACTTCTGCTAGATAAGTGCCTGATTTTTAATTACCTATAACAGAACCAACTTAAAATGGGTTGTAAAGTCATGCAGACTTCATCGGGAGTTTGTTTTATTTATTTTATTTAAACAAGCTTCTATTTAAAAATTGCTTTGAAAACACTTTTTTCTGCACTTCAAAGATGCATTTTCCCATTCAGGACAAATAAAATGAAGTCCGGAATTTTATATTATCATTTTCATATACAGCGGAACGTGTAATGTAAAATGCAGAGGAAACCAGTTCACATTTTTTTGCGGCCTTTGCCCTTAAAAAGTTGGAAATAAGTAATAAAAATTTACAACTACATAGTAGACTGCAGGGTAGTTAAAAGTTAGATACAAACTAGCTTAATTTCCTGCAAGGTATGTGCGTTTGCCTATCTACATATGTACCATATGTATGCCTGTGCATAGGTAATCGCATATCTAACCAAATACGGCATTCACAGCTCGCAATCAAATGCCACTTGTAATAGCAATAAATATGCAAATATGCCATTCTCCACCGATGTGCATATGTATGTATGTACATATGTAAATTAGTAAATTATGGGTGGCATGCTCTTAAATACGAGTACACATAGTGGTGTGTGTGTGCGTGCAGTTTTATAGGTCCGTTGCACACGGCCATGGTCAGCCGATTTTAAAATGTAGCTTAACCGGCAATGGCAGAATGGAATGAGAAGAAGGTAAGCGGCTAGGTGTGCGTGGATTGTAGCCACTTTGTGTAACACCGTTGCAACAAAGTAGTTATGGGCATGCAACACTACACACAACAGCAAAAAACAACAATATACGTACATACATACGTAAGTAAAAGACAGCAGGAACAGCTAAGTGTTACTACTCCTACAAGAGAGCAACCTATTACATACAACTCGCAACTTCAAAACCCCACTCGACGCTTGTTCACGTCCTATTAATGCAAGAATAAGCTAAGATATTTGTTTCCCCCAGATAAATACTAGCACTTCTTACGACTTGTATGCAAGCGAATACTTGCAACAAAATGTTGCACACTTGCTGTGGCGTCGTCACCAGGCAGTGATGCATATCTGCGGCCGTATGCTCGCCAGCAAGTGAATGGGTGCGCTGTCAGCTACGGTGCGAGGACTTGCCTGCTTTCGACAAGCTGTTTGGATGAGTGAATGCGAATATTCGTATTAACTAGTAATTTTTAAGCAAAAAACAAAACCGACTTCAATTCTCATATAAAAATTTAGGAGTAACGTTAATTTTTTCATGATCCCATGAGCGGATCTAAACCAGATTAGTATGGCACCACGTCTGAGACACTACCTTTCCGATGCAAAAAGAATTATCGGTTGACGTGGTCCAAAGTTATGCGGTAATATACAAACAAAAAAAAATATATATTCCGACGAACTGATTACCTCCTCCTTTTTTGGAAGTCGTTTAAAAAGTGTCGTTGAGTGAGGATATCCTCAGCACCACCACCAACATTGATGATGGCGGGCGATAGTGCTTGCCATAAAGTTGACGTTGATGATGGTTGTAGTGGTGAAAGAAGATGACTGAGTTCGTGCTGATGTTGCTGTTGATGAAGATGGTGTAGTTGCCGCTGTTATACCCATCACTTTTGCCGCGTGAAACTGGCTTGAGTGCCACTCACTTTTCTGCGTTTGCACTGCTTGAAATAATATATATTTTTTGTTTCTTTTCTAAAAGTATTTTTTTCTTTTTATTATTTACTCACATAGATGTTTCCATGTGTGTGCTATTGTATAGTTTTCTATTGCAATTGCTTTCCACAATGGCATACAATCGCCGCTTGGTAATCTTCGCGTGCTTGTGCACGCCTAAATAGCGTCAAGTTAACAACAATTAACTTGCGCCTTTTTTCTCATTTATCAATTCCGATTTTCACTTTTCTTTCACTTCTTGTACCTACATAGATATGTACATATGTATGTATTACTGCAGCGGCGATAGAAAAAAAGTAACAGAATATTAAAAAAGATAATAATTTGCCGTAAATCATTAATCAAGTGCTTGTTGTGCGAAATACTGGAAGGGCTGTCAATTCAAAGCAAAAGTCGTTGTCACTAAGCATTGAAAGAAATTTAAATATAGTACGTATATAGTAGTATTTGGCTTTATTTAATTTAGTTTAAACCAATTTCGATAAATTTCATTTAAATTTATTTGTTTTAATTAAATTTCTTTGAGTAAATCTTTTTAAAATTAATCACAAATTTTCGCATCATGGTTTCAGTTTTGGGTGAAACGAGAGCAATTTGAAAAGCCACTGCCTTTTTGAATTTCCCACGCAGTTAGTTTTAATATAATACTGTTCCCGTTAACTGCCAACGGTTAATAGCCTACTGTAAAATTTTAACCAGGCTCCGCCATTTAGTTTGAGTTTGACAGCCACTGAAAGCAGCCAACCTCATGGATTTGAACGAAAATAGAAAAAAAAGTGAGTTTCATGTGCTCATTAAGCATTATTTTTTGCGTAACAAATCTGGTAACAAGAAAATATTTACTACGGGGATTCCTATTTCTAAACCCAAAGAAATGTGGGTGGGCGGTAAGATATTTGGGTCGAATGAAACAAAGGCTTATTTTGAGCATCCTGGAAAATCTATTATTTGGAAATAATCAAAAAAGGGAACAGTCCAGCGCCGCTAAATTTAAACGTAGAATACGTGGTATGGTTAAGAGCATATACAAGTCAAAAACGAAACTAAGAAAAAATATCGATAACAAAAGCGATAATAGTATCGATAGCGAAATCGGTAACAAAATCGATAAAAATATCGATAACATAATCGATAATAATGTCGATAGCAAAATCGATAAAAATATCGATAACAAAATAGATAAAAATATCGATAATAAAATC